GGAGTCCCCCAGAGAAAACAAGAAATGAAACATAAAAATTTGCATATTGTTATAGATGGGTTCCCTCATTTTCATTTATGAAAATGAAAATGCTAATACTTATATGAATAGAAAGTATACGTATTCTAATGACTTGGAAAAATACCAGTTTGTCTTACATGTCCATAATTAATTCATAATTAGCCAAATTAGATGAAAATTACCAGCAGAATTCCAATGTGTGAACGATCAAGAAAGGTCAAAAAGTCTGTACATACATGGACATTTATGATTGGTTAAAACTCTTAATTATATGCAATAAGAACATAATGATATGATTAAGAATACATGATAATTCACTAGAAACACCAATTAATCGAATAGTTTGCTTAATTTGAGACTAAAAAATAAGGAAACCCATCTTTAATGATATTGTAAAATGGGCCTCATGTGGACAGCTGGCGTTGAAAAGTAACCATTCGACAACTCTCGGCAGTTTCTGTAAAGCTGTTGCAACATATTCACGCTAAACCGTTTGAAAAGCAACGATAGAGAATTTTCTGAAAAGAAGCACAAAACTATCATTTTATCGTACCACACCAATGAAGACTAGCTCTTACTAATTTAATCAATACAATGACCAAAATCTGACGTAGAGACAATAATGGGTTTAGGATGTTCAGGATAAAATGAAGTGGCTCGGAAGTGCTCTTAGTGATAGAGGCGACATACGCTTATTAAAGTGATGTATTACTCTATATATTTGCTTTCCAAGGTGATAGAGACCCGCTTTTCAATGGGTAAGCCATCGTATCGCGAATACGGGTTTTGACATGGTCTTATTAACCCGTATTAAACTAAGTCCTGTATTCTTCGTTTTGGGGGCGTGGAAATGAGATTGGCAACATCTAAATCTGACCAATAAGATCGGTAAAACAGAAATGAAGTCACGTAAACGAAGCACAACACCGCTTTACCACCGCCCGTTTCCAAGTAAATATTTCAAAGTAAGGTTTTATTTTCTCTCGGCTTCAATTCTTTAACGAAAATCTTACTCTGTACCGTACGCTACATATTCATCAAAATATGTAATGCCACGCTGCTTTCATTTTGTTAACGTTAACAAACAAAGCGTAAAACGAGTGATTAGTTTTGATTGGCTTAAATTTGCTACCAATGCAGTAGGTCCAATTTTGATTGGACACTATTAAGCTATGAATACGTAACTTTTCTCACTTGTGTTACCACGGTCCCGAGGAAGTATGACGATGGGTGTGTGGTTTTGACACGATGTGGGTAAGCTTACTTGGCTCATATGCCCGAAGTCCAGTTGAAATACAACTGTCCTGATAAGGATTGCTTATAGTCAATACGTTTCTGTTGCATGAGATGGGCCAATTAATTTGGAAATTTGGCATTCACCGTCAAAAACTTTGACGAAAGTCGGTTGTCGGAATAAACACTTTTGCAAGACGTCGGAATGAAATGACTTTAGACAAAGAGGCAATGAAAGGTGTTGGAGCGGTCAGGTCGTCAGTAAACCTCTAGACGTAGGCCAACGACATAGACGTTAAATTGGCGGGAATATGTCAGACGTCGCACTTTACTTGCATTACGACAATTGGATGTCGTAAAGGGTCGCTTACAAAAGATGGTTCACTATGAGCAGAGTTTGAAGAAAACAAACGTAGACGTAGGTCAGACTTTCGGATAAAGGAATAATCAAACAATTGTATTCATTATATCCGCCTTTACAGTATTCTTTCAATAGGACCACGTGATATAGTCCGAAACTCCATTGCTGATGCTGATGTTACCTTGGATATGTCTTTGATTATGAGTCAGCCCTTGGAGTGATGACTGACTGGAGGAACATCGCCTATAGAAAACTATAGCGTGCGTCGACAATCAGTGACGCTTGACTCTACGTAGCAACCCACAATTCCATGTCAGTAGCAGCCACGATTGTAGCCGAGATGCGCAATCGAACGTACCCTTTATGTTTAAACAACACGCATGCGCAGTTAAAACCAATATGGCAGCTTCCATGAAAAACGGATTTTCTTGATTTTTTAGAGTTAGACATCTAATTGGCATATATATTTATTGCAAAATTGAAAGGTACCAGTCCCGAAGCTTGGCTTGATTGTTAGGAGGGGCAAGTAATATATCTGCATGGACAATGGTGTGTGTTGTTATTTGCAGTAACAGAATTGGTCAGCTGTCAAAGATCCCTCGGCAGTTGGAAATAAAAATAAAATAGGCTAATACCGATGTCCTTGACAAATCCACCTCATGTCAGGCGTTTTTGTTGGCCGATTCGATTAGGTAGTACGTTTTGGTGCAATTTGGTTTAGATTAGCAGTGGTCCACAAATGCGAAATTCAAATCGGCGATTTGGCAATATGGCTGCCTCCGCTGACAACCAACGAAAGACCGCTATTTTGTGGCAACTGCCACATGCCGCCATCTTGGAAAAGCCTAATCGAATCGCCTAACCACCTCCTGGGACGACTAGGACGATTAGCCAAATCAGTTTAGGTAAACTGGCTCACAAATGTACGCACAAAATAGCTAATCTACCTAATCGAATCGGCCCACAAAAACGCCTGTCATTAGATGATGGAGTTCATCTTCATTGGCCTAAAATAGAGCAGAAAAGTAGGACGTAAAAATTATGTTTCATTTCATTAATTTTGTTATGAAATTGAAAATAGATTTATCAAAGAAAAGTATATCAATAAGAATCCTCATATTAACCAATTTGTTAAATATATGGTTTCTGCGTAAAAAAAGGAAAATGTGATGTGTTCTATTTAGGAATGTTTCCAAACTGTGATTCAGAGGAGTTGTTAAATTTGGTGTTTCTGTCTTGCAAATCTAATCGGTTCGAATTATCAACAGATGACTCAAATACAGATGACGGAGTACAGTGCACGGCATGAGGAATCGAACATAGTCTACATCGAATGATTGACCTCTTAATACAGCATTCGAGCGCTGCTAAATATAAAGACATCGGACGAGGCTTGATAAGCACCATGTCTTATATTCAGAAAAATCGAACAAAACCTAATATAAACGGAATATTTGAGAGAAATAGAACACAGACTACTCAGAGGAATCGAACGCAGCGTCTTAATAAGAAGAATAGAACGCAACTAGCAATTTGACTCGGAATCGAGCGCATTCATATAGAGTCAGAAATGATCGGATTACTAATATAAAAAGTGTATTATCTGATACGAGTAATTAATAAAAATGTTTTAACAGAAGACTAATAGCTTTTATAATTTATACTCAAACAATTCCAACTCGAAACAATTCATGGCGTGTTATTCCATTTCCCTATTCACATAATACAGTATGGACTGAAATGAATAGAAATTGTGGCTTTGAAGGGAGGGACATTATCACAATATGATATCATTTACTAATACGGTTAATAAAGCAGGGACGCAGATGGCTTTTTGCAATGCGGGGGGACCAGGGGCGTACGCAGGATTTATTCAAAAGGGGTCGGACCGTAGGTGCGAATTCGATTGCAGAGTATAACGGCATGAGAAAGTTTCAGTTGAGCTGGTGACACCGTATCTTTATAGCTCTCAGAAATATTATAGAAAGAAAGGCATGTTACTGAATTTCCAGTCATCCAGTGCGAATATGCGCGAACGATAAAATTTGCTACGTGTGCCCCTTCGTCATGACGCTTCTGTGAGTGGAGATGGGTCCCACAGGCGCAAAATTTCGGCACTTTGATGTTCTTGGATGCCAAATTGTGCCTATCTTTCGTCCATTTCAGTCACTCTACTCAACCAAGCTTGACCATTTGTGGGGGGGGGGGGGGGGGGACA